GTGACATCATTTATCACACCGATATTAACTTACCCAGCAGTACCTCTTATGAGCACCACCCAAATATTAAAATTACAGGTGGTCCAAAATGAAGCACTAAGATTCGTCACAGGTGAAAGATACCCCTTCACCAGAACCACAGCCGAGATACATAGAGACCTGAGAATGAAACCCATCACCCAGCAGCTGCACACCCTGGCCAGCAGAGTCTGGCAAAAGATAGAACAATCAGAGCAAGAACTCCTTCAAAGACTCCCGCCAGACAACAACAACCATACATGGTTCACAAAAAGTTACCAAATCTCAAAAGGTCCATTACCACCCCCGATCTATACGGCCAGGCAATAGACAACCTCCCTAGACCAGCATCCGCCAGTAGGGTCAGCAGAATATGAAATAAGGCCCTTAAAACACCCATATAAGGGACAGGGTAGGATGTCTAGTGCCTGTACCGACGGACATTAACTAACCCATGACACAACCCTAGCACACTATTAGCCTAGCTAGCCCGTAGCAAGGCGGTCAGCCCGCCTCCTCCTAAATTCCTTCAATTTCCGAACTATAACTTCCTTCCTCCACCTCTACTCTTCTCTACAAAAAACCCTCACTACCTCCCCGCACTTACCACCCACCTTCTCCCGTCAACACTCACCCACCGACCCTCACTTACCGCCCCTCACCCTTCACCCACCGACCCTCACTATCGCCCCTTTACCCCTCACCTACCGACCCTTACCCCCCACTGTCCCCTCTCACCTACAATCCCTCCCCCTCACTATCTTCCTCTCACCCATCTCTCTCTCCCTCTCAATAATAATAATAATAATAATAATAATAATATACATCACTTCGGGACAGGTGAGATACAGTTCCATTACTAATATTCCTGTACCTGTATTCACACCTGTACCTGTATTGTTGTTAGTGAATTAATTTAGAGAGAGAGAGAGAGAGAGAGAGAGAGAGAGAGAGAGAGAGAGAGAGAGAGAGAGAGAGAGAGAGAGAGAGAGAGAGAGAGAGAGAGAGAGACTCAAATTAACATGCTGTTCATCAGAAAACAACAATACAGGAGGTAAACAGAGAGGGAGGGAGGGCACGTGTATGGCGCGTGGCAGGACAACACGTGTTCTTATTGACCCCGAGACCCTGGTTATTGACTCACACACACACACACACACACACACACACACACACACAGCTGATTGCTTCATCCCCGCCACGCCTGTTAAACGCCACCCTAATGGAGTTTAAATGTTATACACTTAACACTTGAGGCTACACACACACACACACACACACACACACACACACACACACACACACACACACACACACACACACACACACACACACACGATCAGCTGACAGTAAGAATAGTGATTACTTCATTGTTCTGAGGAGTGTAGGGTGATATGACAGTGATGGTGATAATGACAATGGTGACAGAACGGGGGTGGGGGGGCCCTGTACAGTAAACAGAATTGGGCGGGCATGAATAACTAACTGTTTCGGGTCGAGAATGGGATGGTGTAGTGGTAGTGGTGGTAGTATGTGTGGTGGTGGTGGTGGTGGTAGTGGTGGTAGTAGTGGTAGTGGTGGTGAGTGGTGGTGGTGGTGGTAGTGGTGAGTAGTGGTGGTGGTGGTGTAGTGTTGGGTAGTAGTGGTAGGTGGTGGTGATGGTGGTGGTGGTGGTGGTGGTGTGTAGGTAGTGGTGATAGTGGTAGTGGTGGTAGTGGTGGTAATGAAGAGGACAGAGGGAGGAGAGAAGAAATAGAGAGAGAGAGGCAAGGGAAGGAAGGAGGGGAGGTACAAACACGAGAGGGGAGGAGAGAAGAGGAACAAATACGAGAGAGGGAAGAAAGAGAGGGGTAGAGACAGAGAGAGGGGGAGAGGGACGGGAAGGTAAGGGAGGGAACTATTATGAGCTTCACACCCTCACACACTAATCGCTGACTAATAGCCGACACAAAGGGGAGGGGGTGGGAAGGGAGGATGGGGTGGAAGGGAGGGAGGGGGTAAGGAAGGGGTGGAAGGGGAGGGGGGGAAGGAGGGAGGGTGGCAGAGAAGGATGGGCGGCTTAGATACATGAGAGAGAGAGAGAGAGAGAGAGAGAGAGAGAGAGAGAGAGAGAGAGAGTACCAAGACATTGGGTCAGTACTGATGGAAGATACAAAGATGGAGAAGTGAGGGGTCGGGGGGTGAGGAGGTGATGATGGGGGGCAAATGGTGCCGGGGGGCAGGTTCAAGAAATCCGTCAGCTGGAGATACAGCTTTGGTAGGTGTGAATTTGTCTCAAGGCGTGAAATGAGGAGGAGCGGTGGGTGGGTGGGTGGGTGGGTGGGGGTGCGGCAAAAGGGTGGTGGTGGGAGAGTGGCAAAGGGGTAGGCGGTGGTGGTGGAGGGCGGCAAAAGGGTGGTTGGTGGAGGGGGCAGAAGACCACCCAGTCACGCCTCATGTAAACATTACCCTGGCCTACGAGTGGGTCGGGGGGGAGTCATCTGTAGCCCCGAGTTTTGACTGTCAATGCGGTCGGGAGGAAGGAAGACGATCGTTCGCCAGGCGCAGCAGCTCTCAAGAAGGAAAAGTCACTGCATTACAGAATCACTCACCAGATGGCACCACTTAACACAGTCTTGGGATAAATAGCGAGGGAAGAAGAAGAAGAAGAAGAAGAAGAAGAAGAAGACGAAGAAGAATGCACAGGAGATTACACTTACACACGGACATGCACAGTAAGTATGTATGTATGTATGTATGTATGTATGTGGTGGTGACGTCAGAGCCGCCCTGTGGTAGGTGAGTGAGTGACTATCAGCGTCTTCCATCTGCCACACTACCACAGACTCCCAGGCAGTACGAGCCGACCAGCTGGCTACTTAACACGCTACGGGCACCACCTACGGTTAGGTTAGGTTATGTTATGTGATTTAATCATCAGGTGAAATAAATACCTGGGTTGATTAATCTTTAGGTGAACCCAATATGTTTCCATGGTTAATAGTCCTAAACCCAGTTACTAAAATATATTAACATTAGTCAATTTAACTCAAGCGTCCAGGTGAGACAGGTGAGGTACAGCAGGTAGGAGAGGTAGGGGATATAGAGGAGGGTAGGGGAGGTCTGCAGCTAGTCAAGAGTTGGTCAGGTCACAGGTGATGATGGTGTAACAGCTGTCTTTACGGTGTTATCAGTTGTTGTGAGCGCGTGCCTCCTTATCTGAGCTGGAGTGCCGACACCTGCTTCTGCCTCCTATCACACCTACACCTGCTGTTGCACCTGCTGTCCCCCCCACCACCACACCCACACCTGCTGTCCCCCACCACCACACCACACCTGTCCCCCCACCACCACACACCCACACCTGCTGTTCCCCCCACCACCACACCCACACCTGCTGTCCCCCACCACCACACCCACACCTGCTGTTCCCCCACCACCACACCCACACCTGCTGTCCCACCACCACCTCCTCCACTTCCACACCTGCTATCCCCCCACCCTCCCCACACCTGCTACCACCCTCAGGCATGGTGTGGGTGGGATGGAGGAAGAGCAACATGTAACACGGCCAGCTACTGAAGGAGGAGGAGGGTAGAGTCCATGTGTGGGGCGTGGGGGAGGAACACCCACCCCAGCTGATGACCCTCACCAGGAATCCCCAGAAACACTTGTTATCTACACACACACACACACACACTATCACCACCCCTGTGATAAAGACACGAGACAATAAATAGCTCCCTCGTCTGTATTCATCGTTCAATAGGTGTAAGCGACCAGTGAATCGGCCGCTGGTCATAATAAACAAGGGATTCTTCTTCCCCTCATCGTATCGAGAGTAATAAATATAATTCAATGGTTTACTTGCCGAGAACTGCCTGCCAACCATCGTATCTCACAGTACAATGACATACTAAGGTCTAGGGGGGGTTTATTAGATAAGGTGTTTACAATGAATAAAGTGAAGAAATCTGGAAGTTATGATAATTTTGACAATACAAGAGAGAGAAATAATGGTAAAATATATGCTATGGTCATACAATTTAGATGTCGGTATGTATTGTGTGGTGTGGTGTCTCGTGTGGTGTCGTGGTGTGGTGTGTCGTGGTGTGGTGTGTTGTGGTATGGTGTCTCGTGTGGTGGTCAGTAATGGTTTTCTATTTGGGTGAGTGTTGGGGAAACTTCATCAGGAGGTTAAGTGAGGTGTTCCCATGACGGAGAAAGCCCCAGCCCCAGGTCCACTACGCTCCACCGGCCACATCATCTAGGGTCGTGGGCCGTGTAATGGTCGTCGGCGGGTCTCCTCCTCGCCATGACCACAGGCGGCGGCCATTACTGCCACCACCACCCACAGGGGAGGCCGGGCACCTGGGGGATCCCTTTCAACTCTTAGGGTCCAATAAATCCCTAAGGAACCCACCCAGATGTAGGGCGCCCAGGTGACCCACAGCGTCGTCATCTTGCCTGAACTGATTGGAGTGCCACACGGAGGAGGCAACCAGTGGCCGTGGTGCTGGTGTGGTGGTGACGGGGACCGGTACCACACCAGTAGTCACCGGTACCACACCAGTAGTCACCGGTACCACACCAGTAGTCACCGGTACCACACCAGTAGTCGCCGGTACCACACCAGTACACAATAGCAGCTCACCATACTACAGTGGTGATGCTGCTGTTGCACTGTACTTCTCACTATCTCTCTCTCTCTCTCTCTCTCTCTCACACACACACACACACACCTGGACGAGATCTTACCTGGCTGTTGGGCGGAGCATGAAAGAGAAGGAGAGGAAGGCTAAGAACAAGAGTTTGCCCTGAGTGATCACCTGCCTCCACAGCGGCGCCACAATACAATATTTGGTTAATTTGGACACATGAAGATCTAAATTACTGTAATTGTTAGTGGTGACCAGAAGTTACTACCTACAGCAAGAGATAAGGTCACCAGTGGGCCGCCCTCTCAGGTCACCATGAAGGTCGTGGGCGTACGGGGTACTCACCTGTGTCGAGGAGCGTGGGTCGCTGTGTCTGTGGGTCGTGCAGGGGGTAGAGGATAGCGGGCGTGGGCGGCGGCTGTGAGTCTCGAGCCTGAGAGAGGTCAACGGGGCTGTGGGCGGTGTGGGGGCCCGGGTGGTGCGACGTGGGCGGCAGGGAGCCTGTGGGCGTGGCCTGTGGGACAGAGGACGGGGGGTAACCGCCCACGGGCGTGCCAGCGTGACCATTTACACCACCCAGTTCCGTCATCACGCCATCGCTCTGTACACATGAAGTACATCTTATTACACACACTTGAGGTAATGTGTACACACACACACACACACACACACACACACACACACACACACACACGCGGTATTTAAGTCGACATAGTGTCACCATATACTATGTTAATAACAGGTCGAGTGTACACCAGTAATATAAGACCAATGTAGAGTCAACAAGAGGACATCATGTTAAAATAAGGTGTAGGGTGGGTGTAGGGTGTACTCTATACATTACCTGGGTGTAGAAGTGTTGGTTGGGGGGGAGAGGTGAGGGGGTAGCTGTGGAGTAAGACACCAGGGCGTCACTCACTCCTGGCCAGTCGTCACGGCCCTCCAGTCCTGTGTACCCGTACCCCGCGCTCTGTAAACAACAACAACACACATTAGTCACCAACACTTTACCTAACCTAACCACAAAAACCTAACACAATCTATGAATCAGTGGTCACCTTTCATCCTCATTGGCCAAGGAACACAATGACAAAGGCTCAGGTAGAATTAGTGTTTTTTTGTCCGTGTGTGTGTGTGTGTGTGTGTGTGTGTGTGTGTGTGTGTGTGTGTGTGTACTCTTCTATATCAGGTTGAGAGCCTTAACCACCTGCATGTATGTCTGGTAATTGACTCCCTGATGCACCTCCTCACACCACAGCTGCCCGAAGATCCTCCCACAAACATTTCCGGACAGATGTTTGGTGGTGTTTTTATTGTTGATATTGCTGTTGTTGTTTTTTACTATGTGGTAAGAGCAGTACTAACACCTGCCTCTTAATTACCATCTACCTGTCTGTCTACCTGGCCACACCCATTGACAGGTACACCATATGATTATCACTCTCCTGTACAACAAGTGTTTACATGCACACAAGGACAACATAAGAGTGCGTCACACCCTCTCACCTGGATAACAAAGACACACATATAAACATTATGTATATCAAACACTCACACTTAACATCTGCTTAACTCTCACACTCGCTATCTACACCCTCAGGTCACGCTAGCACTGCCTCACCCCCCCCCCCTTCCTCGCTAACCCATAAAAAAAGTTTCCACTGCGTTATATAATCCTAAACGTAATACTAGGATTATTTTAACACTCAAATTCCTTCCTTTTTTTTCACTTTTCCTATGACGTCGGACCTTCTTCGCCTTAGGCAGTGAACCACGGTGTCAGTAGTGTTGCCCTCAGGTACCGACGTCTTGCAAAAACCTGCTGCTGCTCCCTCCTCCTCCCCCACCTTCAGCGCCCCCTCAGGGTAAGTGCCCCTCGGCTCCGTAATAAACAATCAAACCACGAAACTAAACGTAGCTCTAATTCCATATCCTGACCCGCTGTGTACATTGCTATCATGCGTGTGTACCACCACCTACGCACATGTACACTACCGCCACACGTGTACACCATGCAAAAGTAGATCAACCACTACAAATGACGTCATCTACTTTCAATCTTCAATACTTGCTCTTCCACCACCCAGTTTATTCCCCAGTACACTCCTCCCTCCCCCAGTACGCCCGCCCGCCTTCCAGTACACCCAGTCTATCCCTCCCTCCCCCAGTACACCCAGTCTATCCCTCCCCCCCAGTACACCCAGTCTATCCCTCCCCCCCAGTACACCCCCCATAGTCTATCCCTCCCCAGTACACAGTCATCCCTCCCCTCCCCCAGTACACCCAGTCTATCCTCCTCCTCTCCCCAGTACACAACAAATCAGATATATTTCATCAAAGTTCTTATTAGCATTGTTTTACTTCTTACCTGGCCCCATAGCCATCATCACAGCAGAGTAGTTAACCCACCCCTCCCACCCACCCACCCCACCCCCACTCCACCCACCCCACCCCCACCCACCACACCCACCCACACCACCACCCACCCTCCACCCACCACACTCCCACCCACCCCACCCACCTACCCACTCCCACCCACCCCACCCACTCCCACCCACACCCACCCCACCCACTCCACACCCACCCCGAAGCGTTGTGTAATCATCCCACATACATATAAACTTTTTTTTGTGTGTTTGATTCGTGACATAAACCAAACACTCTTGATCAATGGTCAATATTGTTGTTTCGTGTGTCATAGAGCCAATAGAGACACCTTCCAGTCAACCACAGGAAGGTAAGAGGTGGTGTAAGGGAGGGTGAGGGCCGCCACACAGGAGCCAAGACGAGGTAAATGAAACTGAGTGACACTACCACCACGCTCCTCCTCCTCCCCGCGCCACACAACACGCGCGCCCTCAGTCCCCACGCCACCCTGAGATCTATTAAGGGGAAAACCTTGTTGCAGAGGAGACAAAAAGAGAGAGAGAGAGAGAGAGAGAGTTAAAAGTGCGCGCCTGAAGTGGATGTGTAATGTTGTGAGGAGTGTCTGTGTGGCGGGTGTTGTGGCTTGGTGGTGACAACAACATTGGTATGCTGACTGTAAGCGGATGTTAATAATATAACCTCGGACAAAAAAAAAGAAGAGTGTTTCCGTGAAGGTGAATCCAACAGTGATACACCCTATAAGATGACGACACACACACACACACACACATACACACACACACACACATACACACACACACACACACACACACACATACATGACGTCCTACAATGTAACCTCTTATCCCGTCATGTTGGGAGTATTGACTACAGAGAGAGAGAGAGAGGGAGAGGGAGAGGGAGAGAGAGAGAGAGAGAGAGAGAGGGGGGAGCACCGCCCCTCACTCTCCCCTCTACCCCCCCCCCTCCTCTAGCTCTCCCTCTCAGGTGCTGGGTTCCCACGCTGATCCTAGACGCATGAGAGGCGCAACCCACACCGACACTCCGCCTGAGTTTCAACCCTTCACGACCACCAAACATGGCACACAAATTCTACCTCCACAACGAAACGACCCAGTTAAGAGACCATCCCTGATAGATAGACACATATTGAGAGGTCTATCCTTAGGTATTTTGATGGGGATAGGAGTGTTGGAGAAGCGGTAAGAGAGTGGTGGAGGATGGTGGTGGTGAGGGTGCGTGTGGTGGTGAGGGTGGCAACATACTACCTAGTCGTCGAGAGTCAGTGTGGTCCAGCAGCCCGGCCAGTTTTGTAGCTACGATGGGGGCGACAACCATTACTGTTTTTACCTCTGCTTCCTTCCCTACCTCCTCCCTCACCCTCATACATCCTCCTCCCTCACTATACCTCCCTCTCCCCAAAATACAAGCTCTCTCTCTCTCTCTCTCTCTCTCTCCCTTCCTTTCCCTCTCTCCCTTTCCTTCCCTCTCCCCCTTCCTTCCCCTCTCCCTTCCTTCCCCTCTCCCTTCCTCTCTCTCTCTCTCTCTCTCTCTCTCTCTCTTTGTCTGTCTCTCTCCCTCTCACCCAAACTTTGTAGTTTCGCTTTAAATCCCGTCGTCGTTTTTCATTCTCTCAATTTTAGTCTTACTCTGCCGTCCTCGTCAGTACCCCCATCTCCCTGTCAGTCCCTTCGTCGCGTTCCCATCTCCTGTCAGTCCCGTCGTCAGTACTCCCATCTCCCTGCCAGTCCCTCCGTCAGCAGCCCCATCTCCCTGTCAGTTCCTCCGTCAGTACCTCTATCTCCCTGTCAGCCTCCGTCAGTACCCCATTTCCCTGTCAGTCCCTCTCCTGTCAGTACCCCATCTCCCCTGTCAGTTCCCTCCGTCAGTACCCCATCTCCCTGTCAGTCCCTTCTGTCAGTACCCCATCTCCTGTCAGTCCCTTCTGTCAGTACCTCATCTCCCCTGTCAGTCCCTCCCTGTCAGTACCCCATTTCCCCTGTCAGTCCCTTCGTCAGTACCCCATCTCCCTGTCAGTCCCTCCGTCAGTACCCCATCTCCCTGTCAGTCCCTCCGTCAGTACCTCATCTCCCTGTCAGTGCCTCCGTCAGTCCCTCCGTCAGTACCTCCGTCAGGGAAGAAAAGAATTATAGACACACACTCACTCAAACTCACACACTCACTCACTCAAACATACACACACTCACTCACTCACTCATGGATGATGGTAAACACACACACACACACACACACACACACACACACACACACACACACACACACACACACACACACATACATACACACACACACACACACACACACAGTCGAAGGTAAAACTGTCACTCATTCACTGAAAGAAAAAAAAACCTCGAACTGTTAATACTCTTAAAAATTTGTAGTGAAAAGAAAAGTTGAATTTTTAGTTTATTTTACGCACATAGCGGTATTTGTCCCATTAACACACACACACACACACACACACACACACACACACACACAGGGAAGGTGAGTGAAGCGGCCACCAATTAGCAGGACACAAACCTTAAGGCGAGAAGCTGGCCTTCAGCCCTCTGAATAAAGTGACAAGGTGTATTGAATAGTGAGTCCCGGACCAAGGGGTGGAGGGGAGGTCTTTAGTGTACAAGCCGGCGTTTGGCGCCAGAACACGACGACCCCTTTGGCTATGAACACGACGACCCCTACACGCCTTCTTCATTCCCACAAACACGACGACCCTTATAGAACACGACGACCCCTTACACGCCATTCCTCACAAACACGACGACCCCCTTACACGCCATTCCTCACAAACACGACCCCTTTACAGAACACGACCCCTACACGTCATTCCCCAACAAAACACGACCCCCTCACAAAACACGACCCCCCCTTACAGAACACGACGACCCTCTTTACAGAACACGACCCAGAGAGATAATATTCCCACACAGAACACGACTCCACAGCCACAAAATAGTTCTCTGTGGATCCTGCCATAACCACACGCCAAGTCCCTGTCTGCTCGTGTGACAGCTGAACATATAACATGAACGAAGAACAAAAACAAAAATCACGTTCTTCACCACATAACATCACAGAAATTAGCGAAAAAGGTACAAGATTTTGGTTTTCTTTTGGGACTATGATGAACTTTTTTTCACTTCTTTCCTTCCTCCTCCCCTGTCCCCCGCCTCCTCAGGGTAAGTGTAGTAATGGATCAAGTATAAGATTATAATCGACAGACAGACAGACAGACAGACAGACGGTACCGATTCCTATAGCCTCCCTCCTTCTCCTCTCTCGATGTGAAGGACATTGACGGGGTAATAACTAGGGGCCCCCCCTCACATGAAGAGCATCCATCAGTCAGGTCAGGAAATGAGGAGTGCACTTAGGTGACTAACACAGTGATAAATAGTTAAAAAAAAAGGGAAGAAGAAGGTGGAGAAGGAAGGAAGGAAGGAAGGAAGGAAGGAGGGGAGGGAAGGGAAGGAAGGAAGGAAGGAAGGGTGCGAAGGAAGGAAGGAAGGAAGGAGGGACGGAGGAAGGAAGGAAGGAAGGAAGGAAGGAAGGAAGGAA